TTAAAAGATATCATGACTGTCTCTTCTGAGGAACCCAGAAATGATGACACCATAGCAGTGAGCATGCTTTAGATCTTGGTTTCTAAATACCATTCACCACTAAAAGGAACTAGCATTCCTTGAGGAAATGGCTGAATCCAGGTTTTGAACCAGAAAAGTACAACATAAACTTGCAACATCGTTTTATGTCAGAAATTAAGTAAATACTAAAAAAAAAAAACTGATGGGCCCAGGAGACAGCTTAATGAGGCTTTAACTTGCCAAATTTGAGACAACTTAACCTTTAAAAAATACTGACTATAAATGGATTGTAAAAAAATTCGATCTTAAAAGAAAAGGATCCATGAGTATAGAGTGATACTAAAACAAACATTTAAAAAGAACAAACCTAACAGTAAATGTGAAGGTGGGGAGGCAAAGGTCTTATTTACCAAAGGATGTCAATCAGTTCTTGGAGAAATTTACAAGTAAACCAACACGTAGCCTGAGGGAAGTGCTAAGATATTAGGTTAATATAGGAGCACAAAAGACTCATCTATATCAGAATGAGAGGAGAGGAGTAAGGGACAGCTTTCTAAAGATGTGATACCTGAGATGAATTTTGAAGAAAGGTTCAGAAGTGGTAGAAGTAGCCACTTTCATAAATATTTACTCAGGCACAGATCACCAATGAAAGCTAAAACCACTGGGTGAAAGGTTGTTGGCAAACAGGATATTCATACAGATCTCAAATTGTCACACCACACACTAAATTAGTTTTTTAAAAAAAGGGGGAAAGGAATAAAATAAATAGAAATAAAATACAATAAATAAAATCAGTAAAATAGGAAAATCTGGCAAACTCCAATTTAATTAAATGACCAATTTGAACATCACCAATAATTGGACAAACTGAGCTCATGCGCCTTTAATTTGTGACACTGTGATGAAAGCAACATAAATTATTTTCTCGCCAAAAATGTGTGAACTGAGTGTAATCATGGGAAAAAAAAAACAATTAGGCAAAGCCAAACTGAAGGGCATTCCATAAAACAACTGAACAGCAGACTTCAAAAATACTAATGTCCTGGAAGATTTTTTAAAGGCTAGGGAACTATTTTGATTAAAGGAGACTAAAGAAACATGATACAGAAACTTGATTAAATCCTATATTTTTAAAAATCTAAAAAAAGGGATATTTTCGGAACAATTAGAGACATTTGAAGATGGACATTCGATAACAGCATTCTATCAATGTTACATGTTTTGAGCGAGATAACTGTATTGTGGTTATATGGGAGAATGTCCTTGTTAGGAGCTACAGGCTGAAGTAGTCAGGTATGATGTGTCATACCTATCACCTGCCTCCTTCATTCTTGAGATCTGTAGGCTACTCTCAAATGGCTAGGCCACATAATCTCTTCCTATGTATACTTAAGCAGTATATGTGACAAAACGTAACCACTGGTGAATCTAGGTAAAGGGTGTGGTGATTATTATGTTATTCTGACTTTTCCTTAAGTGTGAAAAATTTAAAAGAAAGAGCTGGGAAAAATTAAAGGTAGTTACAATAATGATACAAAAATTGTGTATAATTTCCAAACAGAGAGAAGGGGAAAAGAAACTCCAATCAAGCTAAAGGCATCAAAGGAAAATTTTAAAAGAAGCAACAAGGATGTTTAACAAAGAACATCAAATAAGATGATGGACCTAGAAGAAAAACATCAATGTCCTTAATTATATAAAAACATCAATGTCCTTAATTATATACATTTTTAACTCTCAATTGGGTTAAAAAATCAGATTTGTACTAAGAGATATATCTTTAAAAACAGAAGAAATAATAAAAAGATCAAAAAATAAAACAAAGTAGGAGTCATAATTATGTTAGACAAAATAGAGTGTAAGGTGAAAAATACTAAATGCAAGAAATAATATTTTAGATGACAAAAATGTATGAGCCATAAAAAGTCATGAGTTTTTATAAATGTAAAATATAGCTTTGAAATATATAAAGCAAAAGCCAAATTCAATTCTAAAATCACATTGAGAGTCTGAAACAATTGTGATATACATATCTCTATACTTATCCTTTAGATCAATATGTAATATAAATATATTATTTATATTTCCATGACTTAACTGATTATATAATCAGTTGATTTAAAGAGTAACTACAGATATACATACATAACAGATGACACTTATGGAATCCTTTTGAAAATCATATGGTTATTGACATTTTGTTAGGACAGAAAAATAGTGATAATTTTAAAAATGGGCTAACAGTATTGTGACTATATTTAAAAATTTGTCTTTATCTTTTGGAGATATACTGTTTTATGGGTAAAACGATACACTGTTGGAGACTGGCTTCAAAACAAACGGGAAAGGTGAAGGAGTGGGTGGGGTGTGATTTGATACCATCACCTGGGTGATGAGTACATGTGCTCATTGTTCTATTTCTATTTCTGTTATGTATTTAAAAATTTCCAAAATTAGATGTTTCTAAAAGGAAATTGCCAAGTCTTTAAAATGAAAAGGGGTACGTCAAGCTTAGGGATTGTAGTGAAAAGATAGTCAATGTATTCTTATTTATAAGAAAAAACTAGAAATAACATTAATGTGCTAATAGGCAAATGGTTAAATGAATTTCAGGACAATCCAAATGAATGCAAGATGGTTTTCAAAAGGATGATGCCCATCTTCTTATAGGGATATGAAAAAATGCTCAGGATATAGTAAATGAAAGAGCAAGTTGCAGATCTCTCTCTTTTTCTCTGTCTCTCTTTCTACCAGTCCAGCTCTCCCAACTCTAACCCCAATACATAAATGGAGGAAAAACATCAGAAAAGATACCGTCCAAACCATTAGCAGTGATCATTTCTTGGGAAGGGGGGAAGAAAAGAATTAGCAAGAGGCAGAGGATGAGGTGGAGAACAAAGTTCTTTCACTTTTTACTTTGTATGCTTCTGAATTATTTTACTTTTTTCCCAAGAAGCACGTATTTTAAAATTAAAAAGGAAAAAATGTTCATTAAAAGGAAAAGAAAACAATTGTGATGAGGCAATCTCTCGTATAAAATAGCATATTTTGCCACTTGTGCTCACTCTCTAAAAAGTTCTATTTTGTGAAAATCAGTTAAAACAACTTTAGTATATATGGCTAAGAAAATAGTAAGAAGTACAAAGCATGAGTTAGGTAAATACATTCACCCCACCATGCTTGAGCATTGATTCTGACCTAAAACCTCTAATTAGGATTCTATATATGCCTAACATATAACCAGCAATAACCAGCAGTGATCTCCAAGGCTGCGCAAGATGCTTATTATAAATAAACTTACAACCAAGTCTCTTGTGTGTCTAATATCCCTTCACCATTTTTCAAACTGAAGGGGGCATGGATAGCATTAATTTATAAGGTTGGTCAATTCAGGTTTCGTGGGGGTATTTTCAAACCAAATTTATTGGAGCATTTGGGCATTTAGAGTATGACCATTTGCACGGCGTTCTTTTCTATGCATCTCTGATGACTTTGTGAACATACGGAGATCACTGTAGATTGAAAAATGGAATAATAGCTACAAGGGACAGTAGGAGGTTCTATGCCAACACTTTCCTTTAGAGAGAAAAAGAGAATTGAAAGGACATGCTAAGGTCACACTGTGCAATTACTGGTTGTAGATTAGATCCAGGTTTCCAGGTTTTATGAACAATGACAGCATAGCCCTCTTCCTACAACAGTTACTTGGTTTTCAACTTTTGTTTCCAAGTCTTATAACTGGAGATGTTCCTGCACCCCTAATTCTCAGATCTTTGCAAATCAGGTTCTTGAAATAAGAAATAATGCCTGGGATATATAATCTATTCAATAAACTCTGGCTAAATAAATGGATGAATGAACAGAGTTTGAACTCTTTTGCAGAAGCCCAATATTTGGGCTAAAATGATACGAGTCATCTTTTTGTCCAAAACCAGAGTAGACTAACTATTCTGGTTGATCTTCCTAAAACTTCCCTAAAAGTACCATGCCAAGGAGAAGTCATAGCTCATTTCCCACACCTTCGTGGTACCCTTAGTGTGTCTTCCTCACCCAATCCTTCCTTGCTCCATTCCCATCAGTCAGAAATATCAGTGTTGTTTGTTCTGAGGATGCTGAGAATGCTAATATAGAATATAGAGAGTGACCTAATGTACTTTTTCTGCTCCTGGGACTAATCCAGCTTCTAATCCCTCTCATTCATTCATGCAGTCATGCATGTAAGAGATGTTTACTGAGCACCTACTGACCTGCTATCTGTTAGGCACTATATGTGGTGCTGGAGTGCAGTGAGAGCAAAGCAGACAGGGCAGTACACTCCATTAACTTTCTGTGCAGGCTGTCCTGTACCCATCACCTGACTCCTTCATTACTGATCATCAATCTTTTGCCCCTCCTAAATCCTAGATTTAGCACATGTAACTTGGACCATCTTTTCTGATATCTTAACTTCTGAAGGCTTCTACTTCCTATCGCATCCTAACCTCACCTGGAAGGACATTTTAAAACCTTTCCCACACCTCTCTAGGCTTTGGTTCATGGGGTCCTTCATGCCTGTTTTCCTTTTCTTCACATTCCTGTTGAAAGCAACCTCTCCTATAAACCATGTGGATTAACTACGCCAACTGTTGGGGTCAACAGCACAGTTTTGATTATGCAAGACACTGGGACCATAGCCATCAGTAAGTTCCAACTATCAAAGAGCTAAATGGTCTGGTCTGGGAAGACAGGGGCAGTGAGGACCTTGCCCCTCCTATGCCTCGGGGCATTTAAAAAATCTAGTTGATATGTAGTGATTCCATAACTGAGTGTGGGGGAGCACTCTTCCGTTAGCCGGGGAGCACTCTTCTGTTAGCTGGGGAGCACTCTTCCATTAGCTGGGGAGCACTCTTCTGTTAGCCTTGGGGCAACCTGAAGCTAAGAACCGGGTCTGCTTTTTAACCCTGGAGCCAACTCCCGAGTGGGGGTAAGGTACTCACCTAACCAACACTGGGATCTTGGGCATCTTCTTGGAGACTTTAAAGAAACTCGTGTCCCCTTTGTTGTCAGTAAAGTAAATGCCAGCCACACTGGTCACGAGGTTCCCAGGGAATGTGAAGAGAACCCTTTCATCATCACCCTGGTTTGCCCAGTCCCAGGCTTGTCCTCCTATGAGCAAGCCGCCACCACGTTTCATGAACTTGACCAGCTTTTCCGTCATGGTTTCATTGTAGGCGTCAATACAGTAAACCCCCAGGGAGTCTTTCACTTCTGGCTCAACCTTTGCATCCATTCCAGAGCCCTCGAGGATTTTGGCCAAAGGTGCCAGGGATGGGTGTACACCAATGGGAGCCCCAGGGGAAGAGCAAAGCCACCCCACTGCGTTCAGGAGAAAGGGTGTGAGCTGGGCTTCCACCAGGTAGTCCTCATGGGACATGACGACCAGGCGGCCGCGGCCATAGGAGGAGGCAGCAATGAGGACCTGGCCCATGTCATTCACCATCACAGGAAATGAAGCCTCTCCAATAAGAAGCAGTTCACATGGAACGGCATCTTCGGGTACATCCCAGCTTGTCACGCCATTCATAAGGGCCTCGAAGGCAGCAGAAGGAGTTGCCATGGCTCTGTTGGTTTCTGCAGAGAAGAAAGAAAAGGCTCAGCTTGGCGAACAATGGATAAACACAGAAACAAATAGAGCAGTTCACTCTTCCAGTAGCTGGGCGATTCTTCCCACTATGCAGATGAGGTTGACACTGGGAAATGATTCAAGCACTCGGTGTTAGTGACTGAAGTCCAGGAGACCCCACTGGGCCCTCTCCTCTTAAACTCTGTGGTCAAACTTAGCTTGATACTTTTCCATCACAGACAGAAACAAACAGAAGGAAGGAATGAGCATGGAATTGTGTCCCCCAAAGAGACATTTGAAATCCTAACCCATAGGACTTATTTGGAAAGAGGTTTTCATAGATGTAATGAAGCTAAGATGAGGTCATAGGTGATTCAAATGGGTCGTAGTCTAATGACTGATATCCTTGTAAGAGGACATTTGGAAACACAGGGGAGAATGCTATCAGAAAATGGGGGCAGAGATTGGAGTGATGAGTCTACAAGCCAAGGAAGACCAAGAATTGCCGGCAAACACCAGGAGCTAAGAGAGAGGCATGGAACAGATTCTGCCTCAGAATCTCCACACTGCTGACACCTGGATTTCAAACTTCTAAGCCTTCAGAACTGTGAAATGATGTCTTCCTGTTATTTTAAGCCACCCCATTTGTGGTCATTTGCTTCAGCAGCTGCTGGGGATTCATAGAGTGGAGCGGCATGTTGTGCTCCCAGCCCATTCCATCCCTCTTGGCTCCCACACTAATCAGATTACTCAGAACTTCCATGTGAAATGCCTGGGCTTTCAGAGAAGGTTCTTTGGTCAAAGTCACAGGCTAGGTAGGAGGAAAGTGGAAGTCCTCTGTGGTTTAAATGCAAGTCTCCTACCACCAGGAGCAGAAGGTAACAAGATATGAAATTATTGCAGAATCCTAATTGCACCTGGGATGCAGCTGACAACAGTGTGGAGGTGAACTCACAAATATCCTCTGCCTCTTCACAATGAGATCCCCACTAACGATGCTCTATGGTCTGACCTCTGCTACAAGCGCTGTACTGAAACACTTCCTCCAAGGACAGATGTGTTTTCATGGTCAGGTCATGCAGGGTGTCTCATCTTCAGTGACTACTCAGCAGCACAGGACATCACTGCTCTCCCAGTCCATGAGGCTGAACCACCTCTGTCAGTATGGCCCGAGGTAACCTCTTTGTATCCAACCTCTAGAACCACTTACTTTCTGTCCTTTTCTGACCTCCTCTTGGAATATGCAGATAGTCCTTACATTTTAATCTTTGGCCCTTACCACTTGTCTATTTCCCTTGTCAGATAACATGCTCACTCTCAACATAATATGCAACATGATTATAAACTTGGGCTCGGGACTTACGGCAGTCTGCGTTTGAATTTCAGCTCTGCTACTTAACAATTGTGAGACTTAGACAACACATCTCAGATTTAGTTTCCTTGTTAATTAAATAGGAATTATAATATCTGCCATATAAGCTTGTCCTGAGGATTAAAGGAAATAACATAGGTTAAATGCCTTTTCATAAGTATTCAATTATTTATATATGCATACTCATATAGGCTTATAATTATTTGGTTAAGAATAAACCATTTAAGTATGTGAGTAATAGAGAATTCTTGCAAAGTGGAAAAAGAATTTAACCTAACATAGGTTTTATAAGCACTGAATTGAGCATGTACTGATTCTGATTTAATAGTTTTCATATTTTGTTACCAATATTAATACTAACACTAATGCTAACTACTATTACATTCATTTCTCATGTATCTCTATGTGCCTTCCGCAAGCCAGGATAAAATAGCCCCAGTCTTGAGGTAACGAGTTCAAGACCCCACTGGCCATTTAAAGCCAGTCTCCAAACTAAAAAAGTCTTAAATTTATTAATTTCCCTCTAAGGGAGCTCTTTTAAGGCAAATTACATAAGCTCAATGTTTCTAGTAGTTAAACAGAAGCATTAATAACCTACCTATCTCAGGGAACTATTGAGAAGATACTGACATGAACATTTGGTAAGCAAGAAGCTTGTCTCTTCCCTGCTCCTCCTGGTGCTCATAAATAATCAGGACAGCAAAGTGCACAGTGTCACCGTATGTCCCTTCTCCCTGCTGCTCCCATATCCAGCTGGTCACAAGTCTTATCAATGTCCTTGTTCATGGTTTCCAATCACACTGCCATTAACCTAGTTTAGGTCCTTAGTAATTCATGCCTGGACTCAACTGACCCAATTTCAAAGTTACCAGGACCTGTTCCCACCCTTTACTTTTCTAAAACCACTCTAACCATGTTATTTACTCTCAAAGCTACATCTTAGTCTCTAGGGACAATCTACTGCCTTCCGGTGTGGACTGCCTGCAGAGCTGGCCACCCCCTGGCTTCTCCTGCTGCCTGTCTCCCTGCAGCATCCAGTCGCCAGGTGCCCCTGGACATGCCCTGCTTTCATTTTAGATGATCTTCCCATTCTCTTTCCATTCCGTTCCCTCTCCCAAATCTTTCTATCTATGGAAATACTATCCTTCCAAGAGCAGATATGGCACAGAAAAGAAAATTTAAATGGCCACTTCTGTGGAAAAGATGCTCAATCTCACTAGTAGTCAAGTAATGGAAAATATATTGTGTGTTGCTCATAATATTGTCAAAAAAGACAATACTCCTTTCTAGGAGAAAGTGGAGGAGGAGAAGGGGAAGAAAATGAAGATGAAGATGACAAAGGTGGCTAACAACGTTTAATATTTGAAAGGCTAATAATGTTCAATACTGAAAGACCATCACAATCTGCAGGAATGATGGAGAATGTCTGCACTCTTTTTCAAAAACAATTTTATGGTGCCTACTTGGCTTCAAAGGTGTGCCTATATTTAGACCCAACAACCCTTCTTCTAATAACCCTTCTTACAGAAATAAGGACAGTATCAAAGATATATGTACAGGGATGCTTACTGCTACACCAAATTACAAATGGAGATAAATGAAAACCTAGAAGTACAGATAGATAGACTAATGACAAAGAATGTTTCCTAGAACCATTTTTGATTCTTGTGGGTGCAGCACCTCTAACCCAAACCCACACCTATCCAGCTTTCACATAGCCCCCAGATATCCCACTATACACAGCATAAGACCCTGTAGCACTGCCCCCAGTCATCTACCCATACACACCCCCTAAAGAGTTGCCCATTAGAACCCTTCTCCCTCAGCCTCTGCTGCCTCTAGTGCTGGCACAAGTACAACCAGAACAGAGACCTCACATATCTGTCTCACTAGTTGTTTTCTGAGCTAGTTCAAGGATGAGTTGCATAAATTTTACATCCACCTAGAAGAATGTCCTAGATACATTTTAAGTGAAAATTTCAAGTCACTATGATATGCAAAACATGAAGTCATTTTTGTACAGGCAAAGATAATAATAGTAGTAGTAGTAATTAGTAGCAGTAGTATAATTATTATTAGTAGTAGTAACAACACAATGCTTACCAGGCTCCTGGCATTACTACACGTGATTTCTGTAACTTATTTAATGCTGACAATAAACCTATGAGGTATTTACTATCACTATCCCCATTTTATGGATGGGCAAAACAAAAACTCCAAAATCATAATGCCCAGAGAATTAGTTATTTGCTCAAAATCACACAGGTGGTAAGTGGTGGTGGATCTAGGATTCAAATCCAGGAAACCCAGTGCTGGAGTCCATACTCTCAAGCACCAGGAATACAAAAGTATCTGTTACATACCAGGCTTTATAGGCATTGAAAATCTATGGAGGCCACATTTCAACATAATCACATTGATTACATTAGGAAGAGAGGTGAACCATTCTCTCTGCCTTTATACAAATCTGCATCCTTTAAATTGTATTGCTACTACAATGAGAAACAACACCGCGTTAATACAAATTTAGTCAAAGCATGTAAACACACATTAAAATATTAGATACAGTTTTTACATGATGAGGTAGACTGATCAACTGATCCTGGCTCACTGGACCTAAAAGGTCTTCCTTCATCTCTGATCGGGTTGTGCATCTGCCCACCTATGAATTTGATTTCCTCCTCTACGGGGGTCCCTTGAACTCTGCAGCTGTTTGTGTCCCCACTTTAACCAGCTATCAGTGACTTCATCACTTGATTTTTGAACCAAATGCCTCCTCTTTATGCCCGAATCCATATTTGTCCTCCAATCTTGGTAAGCTCAAATGAATAAAACCTGGAAGAAATGTCCTTTTATTTCTCTCCCTAACCCCTCCCATGGTTCCTGCTTGCTTTCTCCTGGGCCCACCTCTGGCCCCTTTTAGCTTGCTGGAAACAAAGCCACCGCCAAAGCAGAAGGTATTAAAGGCACAACCTGTAACTCAGGGAGAGAGCAGAGCTTCCACTCCTACCACAGAGCAGCGCCATGGCTCGTAAACCTGGTTTCCCTTTGAGAAATGCGTGGAAGGGCAGGTGGATGGAGGGCCCTGCTGGATGCTGCTCCACCCATATCCCGTATGGCAGTGTGATTTCAAATCCTGAACCTAGAGTAAGTGTGTGAGGCCAGAGTATACATTGTATTCTTTGGATGAATAGATATTCCATGTCTGGATGATTACATGACAGATGAGGGTATAAGGGTAAACCCAGGATCATTTTTTCAGCAAATGGCTAATCTGACCTTGAAAACTGGTTTATATTACAGACATTCAATTCTATGGGTCTTCTCTCCTTCATGCTGTTTTTTTTTTTTTTTT